CACCATGGTTGGTGTAAATAAGTGGTAAACAGTTGAGTTGAGCTCTCCTTTCACCCACTGCTGGAAGTGGCCACTGAATTACACTCCCAGCTTTTCCCCTTCCTCTCTCTAACTCAATTTTCCTCCCTCTTTCTTATTTTTCGGCTTGACCGTTGGGGGTTGGGGGAACGGGCCCTCATTCCCCCACCCCCTGCTGGATAATGATTAAAAATAATTCAATAATATCATAGGGACGTTTTAGAGGAGTAATTATTGATTGTTGTGTTAATTTTCAATCTGAGTGGCAGATTCAAAGAATTGGGCCCCTGTATTCAAAATTATGAAAACAAAGGGAAAAAAGGAAAAATAGTAAAATGTAAGTCTGAGAGTGCCATTACCGGCCATTTGACTGTGACTGGTGTCATAATCATATATTTTATCACCTCAGCCTCAACGTGGTGAGACTAAGGTGATCTACACACCGTCCACCTGTGAAAGTCCCTCCCTGGCCCTTCGAATTCCTGGGTCATCGCCACAATGCAATATTTTTGCCACCAATTTTCTTGATTACTGTAGTTTAGAATAGCTGCTGAGATTGCATAGGTCCCTTCTTGAAAATATTTACGAAGGTTCTGATATTATCAGTAGTTTCAGTAGCTCCTGAAAATTGAAAATGTCGGAGCTTTCAGGGGTTCCCTATCCCCAGTGGAAATTGCCCCAGCCAAGCCCTCCCCTTTCCAGGATTTTCCCGAAGGTCGGGGTGGGGCCGAGGTCCCCGATGGGGGGGGGGGAACTAACCCGACGAGGGATCGGATTTCTTCGACTAAAGCAAAGTGGGCGTGGTCGAGCTTCGATGAAAAGGATTTGAAAGTGGTCCAGGGGGCTTAATTATTCAATTTTTGATGTCTATATGTAGAAAATACAATTCTGTTTGCTCCCCGACGAATTGTACTTTTTCTCCTCGATGGAAGGACCAGCTCTGCCCAACAGGGGCTGCTGAGACTGCATAGGCCCCTTCTTGAAAATATTTACGAAGGTTCTGATATTATCAGTAGCTCCTGAAAATTGAAAATGTCGGAGCTTTTAGGGGTTCCCTATCCCCAGATGAAATTGCCCCAGCCAAGCCCTCCCCTTCCCAGGATTTGCCCGAAGATCGGGGTGGGGCCGAGGTCCCCGATGGGGGAGGGGACTAACCCGACGAGGGATCGGATTTCTTCGACTAAAGCAAAGTGGGCGAGGTCGAGCTCCGATGAAAAGGATTTGAAAGTGGTCCAGGGAGCTTAATTATTCAATTTTTGAGGTCTATATGTAGAAAATACAATTTTGTTTGCTCCTCGACGAATTGTACTTTTTCTCCTCGATGGAAGGACCAGCTCTGCCCAACATGGGAAGGGGCTCCCCTCCCCCCGCTGGTGCCAACCCTGACAATAGGTCTCGACGCTTCACAAAAAGGCTGTAAAATTAATTTTGCACTGGGGCCCTGTTCTCACCTAGCTACACCGGTAAGGAGACGTGTTGAAATCGTTAAAATGAATTTATTATCATAATAATAGTGTCTTTTGTCAAATTCAAATCATTGAGCACCATTGGTGGAGACTGTGCACATTATAAATTTTATTATTATTATAATATCTATACTGGAAAAGCTACTTGAATTTACCAAAAGATCAAGAACGCCGTGTGAACTAAGAATTCAGATGGAGTGAGGCTGGGAACCGAATATTAGAAACCAACCCCCCCCCCCCCCCCCCCCCACTCTCTTTTTGATAAAGGTTTTACTAGTTTCATGGTTTTTTTTTTCAATGAGAAAACTGTTATAAATATTTTTATAACATCATGTCCAAATGTTTAAAAACATCTGTCAGGTATTCATTTAATTAATAAAAACAGGCTTTTCTAAAGGCATGCTGGTTTTCAGCTGGAATGTTATGGTCGGATAAATGACGCGTGATGTTGCTGTCGATTATGTGTTCTAGCATTTTACAACAAGTTCAAGTAAGGAAGAGGCCTGTAATTTGCAGAGTCAGTGGTAGATCCTTGTTTGAAAATAGGCATAATGTTGGCTTTTCTCCAATCAAACGGTAGATCACCAGAATCGAGCGATTGTTGAAATATTCATTTATAATAAAATATTATTTCTTTAAAAATTGTATTGTCATTTGTTTTGTATGTTTATAAACACTTTTGATTGATAATGAACGGTTTCTGAGTATCAATCAACTGATTAATCAGGGCCAGAAATAAGTCCTACAAACATGTTGACATAAGCTGTTTTTTAGCAACATATCAAGCAAGCAAGGTGTCCTCCGATTTTAGCACAACATATTAAAGCAGAAAATTGATAAAAAATAACACATTTCTATTTCAAAAAATCTTTTTATTTTAAATATGTGTTTGGTTAGTGTGGTTATTATAACAAAACAACAGAAAATATATATGAAAGAATTAAATTTAGAACAATAGCAAATTACATTGAAAATATGTAAAAGATTTAACATTGCTGAACATGTAAGTTCTATAAACTCTTCAGTTGTTAATTGTATTACATTTTACATAATAAATGATTATACCATTATCACTCACTAAGGAATATCTTGTGTATTAAATTTCACTCTTATCTTTCATTGACTCACCAATTAAAAATGTCATTTTAATTAACCTAAACGATTAATAAAAAATCATGTGTACACATGTGTAAATTTTGCCAAAAAGAACAGATTACAAAAACATGGAATGAAAACACAAAGTAATATTAAATACCAAACTACAGTTTTAAAATATCTCACAACCATGTAGATCATTTCACAGGACAAGCATTATTATTTTGTTGTCATGCCACATGTATTTGATATCTGACTATATGTCATTCTACTTGGTTTATTATTAATACTTCCTACTTTTTTCCTAATTTCTTTTCAACATAGGTTTCTCTTAGTATAACAAAATTATTCAGCATAATTTGTGGGGTTTACAATCAAAGTAAAGCTGAGTCTATAACTGTCTTTTTAAAAGGGCGTACGTCCCAGTGTAGGATCAGTTGTTTGTGTGCGCCACAAACTCTTGGAATGCTTTCTGAAGTTGCTAATGTCTTTTAATCTCCGTCCAGATTGTTCACATTCATATGGAGTCTTACCTGAGTGTACTATTTAATGAAATTTCAAAAGGCTATTAAAAAAACTTCTTTCAACAATTTTCACATTCATATAAGGTATGTCACATCCATTTATCTTCATATATGTCTGTTATAAAACCTTTTGTAATATGGTCTTTAAAAAACTTTTTTCCACAAATTTCACATAATTATGGTCTCTGTCCTGTGTGTTTTCTAAAATGCTTTTTCAAAGCATCTTTACTAATAAACTTCTTTCCACAATGTTCACATTCAAATGGCCTTTCTCTTGTGTGTATCTTTAAGTGTACGTTCAAATTGCTACTAGAAATAAATTTCTTTCCACAATGTTCACATTCAAATGGCCTCTCTCCTGTGTGTATCCGTATGTGTTTCTTCAAATCGCCACTACTAATACACTTCCTTCCACAATGTTTACATTCATAATTTAAGTCTCCACTGTGTATTCTTAAATGCATTCTATAATAGCTGTTATTTCTAAACTTTTTTCCACAATGTTCACATTCATACGGTCTTTTTCCTGTGTGTATACTTGAATGTGATTTCAAACCGCCACTTTCAGTAAATTTCATTCCACAATGTTGACATTCAAATGGTTTCTCACCTGTGTGTATCCTTATATGTTTTTTCAAATGGCCACTATCACTAAACTTCCTTCCACAATGTTTACATTCATATGGTGTTTCTCCAGTGTGTGTCCTTGCATGTACTTTCAAATGGTTACTTTGAATAAATTTCTTTCCACAGTTTTCACATTCAAATGGTCTCTCACCTGTGTGTATCCTTACATGTGCTTTCAAATGGCTAATATTAATACATTTCCTTCCACAATGTTTACATTCATATGGTGTCGTCTCTCCATTGTGTATCCTTACATGTGCTTTCAAATGGCGACTTAGTTTAAATTTCTTTCCACAATGTTCACATTCAAATGGTCTCTCTCCTGAGTGTATCGTTAAATGCCTTGTCAAATCGGTTTTATCAAGGTGCTTCTTTCCACAATGTTCACATACATGTGGTTTCTCACCTGTGTGTATCCTTATATGTTTTTTCAAATATGTACTAGTTCTAAACTTCTTTCCACAATGTTTACATTCATATGGTGTGTCTCCATTGTGTATACTTACATGTACTTTCAAATGGCAATTTTTGGTAAATTTCTTTCCACAATGTTCACATTCAAATGGCCTTTCTCCTGTGTGTATCCTTATATGTGTTTTCAAATGGCTACTATATCTAAACTTCTTTTTACAATGTTTACATTCATATGATGTCTCTTTATTGTGTGTCCTTACATGTTCTTTCAAATTGCTACTTTGGGTAAATTTTATTCCACAATGTTCACATTCATATAGCTTCTCTCCAGTATGTGTCCTTAAGTGTGTTTTCAAACTGTCCCTGTGGGTAAATGTTTTTCCACATTGTTCACATTCATATGCTACTTGTCCTTTATGTTTCTTTAATTGTATCTTCAAACTCTTGCCTTGATTGATCTTCATTCCACAATGTTCACATTCATATGATGTCTCTCCTTTCAGTTTCCATAAATGTGCGTTTAAATTCCTACATTCATTGAGAATTTTTTCTGTATGTATTATCAAATGTGTTCCTAATTTAATTCTGTGATTAAATTCCTTTGCAAAAGACTGGTATTGACAGTGGGTTTCATGTTCACATTTATTTTCCAGAGGTTCATTTTTAAATTTCAAATGTTCCTTTAAACTGTCAAACTTAAATTGTTCTTCACTGAACACATTTCTGCAGTCATCCTCATATTCCATACACTTATTATTTTCAATCTCATTTTTAGTTGTTAGAAATGAACTTACAGTGTGTACTTTTGATGGAATTGTTGGCAAACCGTTTTTAAAAAAACCATAACCATCTTCTCTTTCTGGATAGTTATCAAAAACACTGCACTGGCCTAGAAAATAAACAAAAAAACAAAAAACAATGTTACTAGTTGGGAAATTATTAATACAGCAGTCTATTTAGAACAGAGATTGGAATGAATAGGGAATGAGAAATATTGAAATGAATCAACCAATTGGCAACACAATGTTGCAGGAACGTTAATTACACCATTAATACTTAGCCGGAAATGATATGAATACATATTTACAGCCACAAGATGATTCGTACACTGCAACTTTATAACTTTACTTTGCATGGACTATGCAATCTTAGTTTGGGGAACTGTCAAACAAAAATATAAACACTCTGTTATGGTCGGTTACAAAAACCTCCTCCTAGAATAGTTACAAATTATCGTGAGATTATCTTATTAAACAAAAAATTGGAAACTTCTTAATGAACGTAGAGATTATGCCTAACATGATTAGTACAATATGTAAATATATAAATGGTATTGCACCTCTTGTGTATAACAATATTTAAATGATTTTTGACCGGCATGGATATTCCACAACATACGCCCACTCACTTAACGTTATCTACCAAACTCAAACTTGCTCTGTAATAAATGGTTCTTTTTCTTTAAAAATTGCTGAAGCAAATGTTTGAAACAAGCAAGAATATCAGTCTCTTAAAATTCAAAATTACTTATAAGAAACACTTTCTCCGATTTCTAAATTTGTTCCATTATCTATGATATTTTCCAGGTCTTTATATTATTGATTGTCCAAAATTCCAGCCATGAAAACTTGACACAGAAATACCGGATTGGTGTCCAACATGGCAACATTTTTAACCAAGTGATTATAACCTTATCTTTTAATCATAGCCATAGTTTTTACCATATTGTAGTTAATTGTAATTCATGGCCCTGAAACCTGGACTCAAAAATACCACGTTGGTGTCCAGCATAAAATAGTTTTGCACTATATTATACTATTTGTATTGTATTGTTTTAGGTAGCTTCTTGTATGTTCTTTATAGTATTTTATCTTTGCAACCCTATTGTAAAAGAGTATTAATATGGGGGTCATTCTTCTGTAAAGTGTCATTCTTCAGTAAAGTGCCGTTTTCCAGTCCCTCTGTTTTAATGTAGTATAAATTTTAAAATATTAAAGGAAATTTTATTTTTATTGCGTTAATGCAATCTTGAACATAAGTTATATATAAATATTTTAAAAGTAAAAAGATGATTTCTTGGTGTTTTCTTTTCTAAAAAACGGCTATAAAATAAAAACGGTAATTGACACGACTTATGTTGTTAGAAACCTGTTTGTTCAATGTGTATTTTCCTATATTTAAAAAATACAATCTATCTTTTAAATTTACTAAGATTCACATCTATGTGTATATCATCATCTCCGTCACAAAAAAGTGTGATGAAGATGATTCTTTAAATATTTGCTACTGTATGTTACAGCACTGAAAATTGCATGCTTAAATAAACATTTAAAATGCCCTAATTATCGTGCCGAATGTTTATTATAGTTGTTATATGGCATAATGGTGACATGTGTAATAAGAAAAAAAAAAAAGTATGCTATGATCTTCAAGCATGTCATCCTATTGGTTTAATTTTTTCTTCGCCCCGAATTTCCCATGGATGAGCGATCAAACCAACAAAGAGGTCAATTTGGATCCCCGACGGGTCATGACTAACACGGTATTGCGTTGCAGCTGAAAAGTGTACTACAAAACACATGTTTTCTGAATGCATGTAAAGACACACATTTTTAGAACGCATTCCTAACAGTGTTTTGTTTTGTGGTTCGTTTCTACTGGGGAAAAAACATGTTTTTTAATAACCGTTTAAAAACACGCATTTTTTTTGCTCTGCAGAAACAGGCCCTATCTCACCTGTATATATCATCCTGCCTAATAATAATTATAAACAAACATTATTACCCTCAATTCTCCGAAGGAGAGATGATGGGCGTGTGTCTGTGGGTCTCGGTCTGTGTGTGCGTGTGTGATGTGACGCGTGTCCTTCCGGATGCATAGCACAAAAACTGATTTACTTCAAATGTTCACACTTTAACAATGTTATGTACTGTATCTCGGTCCTCCCCGAGTTTGGTGCTGATCGGAAGTAAGATGCAGATTTTAGAATGTTATTTTTATATATTTTAGAAAGAGCCAATTCGAGCAGTTTGTTTGACCGAGTCATTTGGCTAGACTGGGTCTACTCGAGCGAATCAACCCTGTGTCAAATTCTGGCCTGCAGCCTAAAGGCGTGCAAACTTGTGCCCAATTGATGGGCTTTCCACGTGAGGCCTATGATGACGTGGTCTGGCTGGCCGGCCGGCGTAAAATCAAATGCCATTATTTTTTCAGTATAGATATGACGCATCAGGGCTAGGGTTTGTAATCTCAGATTATCTTGTTATAACTTAAAGTATAATGTGCTCCAGTCTTTGCTCAGGAGGAAAACTATTGTCTAGTATAGGGGGCCTTCTGTCCAACAATGCATAACACTAAAATTACATTGCAGTAGGTCAAAACATCCTGTGTCCCCTTATTAGGAGTTGCATTCATTTTAAGGTGATTAAGAATTATGATACACAATATTGACAATACTGGACTTGAACCCAAAACCTTCTGCTGTCTGTTCAGCTTAATGCTAAAAACTGGGCCACGAGGCTTTGTTAGGAATTCAAATCTGATTAGAATCATGTTTTTCACCTTTTTTACCCCAGTGGCAAAAATCAACATTGACTTAATACAGTAATTGCTAATGTACATACACAGCACATATGAAAAAAATATATAACTAAGAGATATCTAAGCTAAAAACATTTTATCTTGTCCTTTGGTAATCTTGAAAATAAAACTAACCTGGTTCAACTTTAATTTCAGGATTCAGAGCGTTATGCAAATGCGCTTCTTGTTCTGACATTGTGCTGCAAATATCATCTCGCATTTAATTTAAATCCTTAAGTTGAAGTTCTGAAAACAAGAAAATAATGGCATGCATTTTCACATTTTTCGGCTGGGAATCAGTTTGGCCGCGATTCGGCAGATATATGTTATGTTTCCATTAAAATTTAGTTCCATACTCCAAGCCAAACCTACAGTACCAGGACATCCCTGACAACAGGTCCAAATGTTATTTAACTGGATTGCAGCGAAAAATGATACCCCCATCATTAATGGAACTGGCCCACGTCATGCAGTGGCTGACTAGTTATGATTTACATTTCGCATATCTAGTGTTATTGTAAAACGTATTTCAAACCAGTCATGCTTGGCTGGTTTTGAAAGAAATTAGAACTACATAATTTTGGAAAATTTGAACTACGTTTTGTAAAATTAGGAAGTTAATTTTGGGACACTAAATCTAAATTTTGAGGAATTTACGTCTACGTTTTGATAAATTAGACATTGAATTTTACAATTACATTTTTTATTTTAACATGGACTTTTGCTGCGTATGACACGCCATAGAATAGGCCAATACAAATCTCAGACGCGCCCCAGACGTGGCAAGCACGCCTGTCAGAAGAGGCTTTGCCCGAGTATTCAATTTATAACGTAGGCCAGGGAGTTGTTATAACAACTCCCTGCGTAGGCCTATCAACTCTATGAAAAAAAACAGATGTATCAGCAAGCATAGATATTAAAAATAAATAGAAACATACCCAAAATATCACATCTACAATCAGTATGAGTAGAAGCTATGCCGAACAATACGTTCGACTTGCACCTGCTTCGGGACCTGCTACCGGTAGGTACTCAATTTAAATGAAAACCCACGTGCAAAAAGCAAACTTAGCGAAGGGACGCAAGAGGGCGCAAATACAAACAGAAAATATATCGAGGGTGCTAACAATAATGTTAAAATCAATACGATTACATTAGTAACTTTTGATCAGTTTAATTTTGAAAATTCATTGGTACCTATGAACCAAAAATACAAGGCCGTCGTAAGCCGGACCACTTTTTCTCACTTCTATTGATAATGTTCGTATCACAGTGTCTTTTTAATGTTATATTAAACCAAAATCCACCATGCGTTTGTTTTTGCATTGGTCCGAAGGGTCTTTGGTCCGAAGGCCCATTGGTCCGTAGGGTCTTTGGTTCGAAGGCCCGTTGGTCCGAAGGGTCTTTGGTCCGAAGGTCCATTGGTTCGAAGGCCCGTTGGTCCGAATTAGTGACCTTTTTCCAGGAATGCAGGTTATATGGCAGTGCCGCAGTAAAACAATTCCTTACAATTTATGGAGTACAGTAACTTAAGAAAGATCGCTTTTCAAAAACAATATTCCCAAATATTTTCCTAACAATAGGCCTATATAAGGTCAAGTAAAAAAATAAATACTAGTCTCTTGTCGCATCAATTTTTGCTGCCTCACCATTTAAAAAATATATATTTCCTTTATTTTGCGAAATGTACGAAAATCTAACTCACATAAGTAAAATTCCTCTCTCGATCATTCGTAGTTTGGAATACATATGTCTGTGGTTCTTTTATTTGCTTTCAATGTGTGTACTTCTTTAAAAAGTAGTGGCTCAGATTTTACAAAAAAGAAAAAAAAAGTGTCCTAATTCTCGTTTTTTTTAAAATATTAGGATTTCTATAAACTACATTTGCTGTCTCTTATACACATCTAGATGTGTATAAGAGACAGCTTATGGACCATACATAAAATAATGGAGAAAAAGAGAACTATACTTAAATTTAAATGTGATGTGCCATTTCCGTCCATCTATGTGAAATTCCTTCCCTGGGCTCCTTCTATTTTGAATTTCTGGATCTGCCACAAGATAATATTACATATAGGCCTACAGGATATATTTATTTTATAAACGACTACAGGAACTTTTTTCACTGTGTGAGCGTATAATTCAGATGTATGAAAGAGGCTAGATTAGATTTGCAGTATGGTATGATACTCGCCTTGATAGTGAGAGGCTGTGGTTCTAATCCCGCTACACACACTTTTTTTCATACAAAAAATAGGACATATAGAGACATCACCTTAAGAATTTGTATTTTTATTTTTGATTTATAATGGACCGTTTCAGTGTATAAACACACAAGTTTACATATGCTGTTGTTTTTTGCACCTAACCTACTTACAAGTAACGTGTGCGAACAGGGGCAGATCCAGAGATGTCCAAAAAAAAGGGGGGGGGGCGGAAGGGGCCGATCGAGATAACAATACCCTAAGGGGCGAAATTTTTGTGTTCTAGACACCCGAAAATAACATCCGAGGCCTTTTGGGCGATAATTTTTTTTTTTTATTTTCTTTTTTTTTTTTTTTTGACTATCCAAAAGAGGGAATCCACCCCTGGTCAACGATCGCATAACTTACTACCTACAACTTATGGCCCGCGTATGCAGAACGAGCCATACGTCGAAAATTTTAGTGCATGCACATGCTACGACGTATACCAGCATGCATCAGCGTGCTCTTAACTTACAAGTAACTTACCAATAACTTATTTAACGTACGCCAGCGTATTCAACACATTTTTCATACGCAATACGTCGGCATACACTGGCTAAATCGTCAAGGTGTGACAGTGTGCAAAATATTCAAGGGGCGAGGCTTTATAGCGGATTGGTACATAATGACACAGGGACTGTAGTTTCACTACTCCATTCCTATATTGCCGATTGACAACACAATGCTGGTATTTCAATTGCGCACACCTACGATACGTCTCCCGTTGAGTGGCGTCGGCCAATTTAAGCACAACAAAGTAGCAAATTGAGAAAAATTAAAACATTTCTATTTCACAATATCTCTTTATTTCAACAATGTGTTTGGTTAGTATGGTTTAAAATGACAAAATAACAGAAAATAGAACAATAATATATTATACTGAAAATATAAAAGATTGAAAATTCGATCCTGTCACATGTCACATGTATTTTATATGACTACATGTCCTGTCATTCTTCTTTGATTATTATTATTGCTTTCTACTTTTTAAAATATGAAGTAATTCTTCAAATGTCTTCTCAAGTTGCAAATGTTTGTAAATCTCTGTCCAAATGGTTTACATTCATTATGGAGTCTCACATGTGTGTCCTCTTGAAAGTACTTTCCAAGGGCTTTTATAAAGAAACTTCTTTTCACAATGTTCACATTCATATGGTGGGTCACCTGCATGCATTTTCATACAGTAATTTATAGAACTTTTTTTGCTTAAATATCTTTCCACTCTTTCAGTACTACGGTCTTTAAACTTCTTCCCACAATGTTCACATTCAAATGGTCTCTCCTGTGTTGATCCTAAGATGCTTTTCCAAATTGCCCCTTTGAAAAAACTTCTTTCCACAATGTTCACATTCATTGGTACATCACATGTATGCAGCTTTCATATGTCTTTTATAAGACTTTTTGTTTAAATATATTCTTTCCACACTGTTTACTGTACATTCACTCAGTACGTCTATATGCATGGTTACATGCATTTTTATAGCAACACGGTCTTAAAACTATTTTCCACAATGTTCACATTCAAATAGTCTCTCCCCCGTGTGTGTATCCTTAAATGCGATTTGAAAGCGCTACTTTGAATAAAGCTCCTTCCACAATGTTCACATTCATCTCCAGTATCTGTTTATTTCAACAATGTGTTGGTTAGTGTGGTTATTATGACAAAACAACAGAAAATATATATGATGGAATTAAATTTAGAACAATAACAAATTGTTTTAAAAAATATGTAAAAGACTTAACATTGCTGAACATGTAATTTCTATAAACTATATTTATTAATTGTATTACACTTTACATAAGAAATGATTATACCATTATCACTCATTAAGGAATATCTGGTGTATTAAATTTTACACTTATCCTTCATTGACTTACCAACTAAAAATGCCATTTTAATTAACCTAATAAAAAATAATTTGTGCACGTGTGAATTTTGCCAAAACGAACAGATTTAATTTCTTTCCGCAGTATTCACACTCAAATGGTCTCTCTACTGTGTGTATCCTTAAATGCTTTGTCAAATTGCTCCTTTGAATGTACTTCCGTCCACAATGTTGACATTCATATGGTTTTTCAACTGTGTCTCATTATATGTTGTCTATAACAGCTTTTAATTCTAAATTTCATTCCACAATGTTCACATTCTATGACTTCTCTCCAGTATGTGTGCTTAAGTGTGTTTTCAAACTGTCCCAGTGCATACATTTTTTTCCACATTGTTCACATTCATATGCTACTTGTCCTTTTATGTGTTGTTAATTATATCTTCAAACACTTGCCTTGATTGATCTTCATTCCACAATGTTCACATTCATATGACGTCTCTATCAGTTTCCATAAATGTGCGTTCAAATTCCTACATTCATTGGGAATCTTTCCTGTATGTATTATCATTTTTTTTTCTAATTTAATTCTGTGATTAAATTCCTTTGCAAAAGACTGGCATGGACAGTGGGTTTCAAGTTCACATTTATTTTCCAGAGGTTCATTTTTATATTTCAAATGTTCCTTTAAACTGTCAAAATTAAATTGTTCTTCACTGAACACATTTCTGCAGTCATCCTCATACTCCATACACTTATCATTATTTTCAATCTCATTTTTAGTTGTTAGAAATGAAAGTGCGGTGTTTACTTTCAATGGAATTGTTGGCAAACCGTTTTTAAAAAAACCATAACCATCTTCTCTTTCTGGATAGTTATCAAAAACACTGCACTGGCCTAGAAAATAAACAAAACAAAACAAAAAAAAAAACAATGTTGAAAGATAGAAATTATTAATACAGCAAACAATTTGGAACAGAGAATGAAATGAGTCGACCAATTGCCAACACAATGTTGCAGCAACGTTAATTACACCATTACTTAGCTGGAAATGTTATGATACATATTTACAGCCAAAAGATGTTTTGTACACTGCAACTTTATAACTTTACTGAAAATAGGCATAATGTTGGCTTTTCTTAAGTCAAACGGCAGATCACCAGAATCAAGAAGCGATTGTTGAAATATTTATTTATAAAATATTATTTCTTTAAAGATTGTATTGGCATTTGTTTTGTACCTTTATAAACACTTGTGATTCATAATGAACCGTTTCTGAGTATCAATCAACTGATTAATCAGGGCCAGAAATAAGTCCTACAAACATGTTGAAATATGCTGTTTTTTAGCAACATATACAAAAGGCGAGGCATCCTCCGATTTAAGCACAACATAATAAAGCAGAAAATTGACAAAAAATAACACATTTCTATTTCAAAATTTCTTTATTTCAACAATGTCTTTGGTTAGTGGTAGTTAATTGTGACAAAAACACAGAAAATGTATATGAAGGAATTAAATTATATTGAAAATATGTAAAAGATTTTGCCAAAAAGAACAGATTACAAAAACATGGAATGAAAACACCGAATAATATTAAATACCAATCTACAGTTTTAAAATATCTCACAACCATGTAGATCACTTCACAGGACAAGCATTATTATTTTGCTGTCATGCCACATGTATTTGATATCTGACTATATTTCATTCTACTTGGATTATTATTATTATTACTTCCTACTGTACTTTTTTCCTAATTTTTTTCAACATAGGTTTCTCTTAGTAGAACAAACTATTCAGCATAATTTATGGGGTATACAACCAAAGTAAAGCTGGGTCTATAACTGTCTTTTAAAAGGGCGTACGTCCCAGTGTAGGATACAGGAAAGTGCCAGTTGTTTGTGTGCGTTACAAACTCTTGGAATGCTTTCTGAAGTTGCTAATGTCTTTTAATCTCCGTACAGATTAAAAGACACTAGCAACTTCAGAAGTTGCTAATGTCTTTTAATCTCCGTCCAGATGGTTTATATTCATATGGAGTCTTACCTGAGTGTACTATTAAATGAAATTTCAAAAGGCTATAAAAAAAAAACTTCTTTCAACAATGTTCATATTCATATAAGGTATGTCACATCCATTTATCTTCATGTATGTCTGTTAAGACACTTTGTGCTTTGACATGTCTTTCCACGCTGTTTACATTACTTCATTGATATGTCTGCATGTATGGCTACATGCATTTTCATAGCAATATGGTCTTTAAACTACTTTTCACAATGTTCACATAACTATGGTCTCTCTCCTAGGTGTTTTGTAAAATGCTTTTTCAAAACGTCTTTACTAATAAACTTCTTTCCACAATGTTCACATTCAAATGGCCTTTCTCTTGTGTGTATCTTTAAGTATGTCTATTCAAAGCGGTACTAGAAATAAATTTCTTTCCACAATGTTCACATTCAAATGGCCTCTCTCCTGTGTGTATCCGTATATGTTTCTTCAAATCGCAACTACTAATACACTTCCTTCCACAATGTTTACATGCATAAGTTAAGTCTCCACTGTGTATCCTTAAATGTGAATTCAAATTGCTATTGCTATTAAATCTCTTTCCACAATGTTCACATTGATACGGTCTCTCTCCTGTGTGAATCCTTAAATGCTGTCTATAATTGCTGTTATAACTAAACTTCCTTCCACAATGTTCACATTGAAATGGTCTCTCTCCATTGTGTATTCTTAAATGTGCTTTGAAATATTTACTTATCGTAAATTTCTTTCCACAATGTTTACATTCAAATGGTCTCTCACCTGTGTGTATCCTTACATGTTCTTTCAAATTTTTCCTTTGAATAAATTTCTTTTCACAATGTTCACATTCAAATGGTTTCTCACCTGTGTGTATTCGCATAATATGTTTTTTCAAATGGCCACTACTAATACACTTCTTTCCACAATGTTTACATTCATAAGGTGAGTCTCCGCCGTGTGTCCTTAAATGTACTTTCAAACTGCTACATTGCCTAAATTTCTTTCCACAATGTTCACATTCATATGGTTTCTCTCCTGTGTGAATCCTTAAATGCCTTCTATAATTGCTGTTTAAACTAAACTTCCTTCCACAATGTTTACATTCATATGGTGTCTCTCCAGTGTGAATCCTTACATGTGCTTTCAAAGTGCTACTAGAAATAAATTTTTTTCCACAATGTTTACATTCAAATGGTCTCTCACCTGTGTGTATCCTTACATGTTCTTTCAAATTTTTCCTTTGAATAAATTTCTTTTCACAATGTTCACATTCAAATGGCCTCTCTCCTGTGTGTATCCGTATATGTTTCTTCAAATCGCCACTCCTATTACACTTCTTTCCACAATGTTTACATTCATAAGATGAGTCTCTGCCGTGTGTCCTTAAATGTACTTTCAAACTGCTACATTGCCTAAATTTCTTTCCATAATGTTCACATTCATATGGTCTCTCTCCTGTGTGAATCCTTAAATGCCTTCTATTATTGCTGTTATTTCTAAACTTCCTTCCACAATGTTGTGTCTCTCCAGTGTGTATACTTATATGTTCTTTCAAATTGCTACTTTCGGTAAATTTCTTTCCACTGCTTTCACATTCAAACTCTTTGTTGTGTATTCTTACATGTGTTTTTAAGTGGCAACTTAGTTTAAATTTTTTTCCACAATGTTCACATTCATATGGAGTCTCGCCAGTGTGTATCCTTATATGTGCTTTCAAACTAACACTTCGGTTAAACTTCCTTCCACAATGTTCACATTGATAAGGTAACTCTTCATTGTGTATCCTTACATGTGCTTTCAAATTGCTACTTAAAGTAAATTTCTTTCTGCAGTATTCACACTCAAATGGTCTCTCTACTGTGTGTATCCTTAAATGCTTTGTCAAATTGCTCCTTTGAATGTACTTCCGTCCACAATGTTGACATTCATATGGTTTTTCAACTGTGTGTCTCATTATATGTTGTCTATAACAGCTTTTAATTCCAAACTTCATTCCACAATGTTCACATTCGTATGGCTTCTCTCCAGTATGTGTGCTTAAGTGTGTTTTCAAACTTTCCCTGTTCATAAATGTTTTTCCACATTGTTCACATTCATATGCTACTTGTCCTTTATGTTTCTTTAATTGTATCTTCAAATACTTGCCTTGATTGATCTTCATTCCACAATGTTCACATTCATAAGATGTCTCTCCTATCAGTTTCCATAAATGTGCATTCAAATTCCTACATTCATTGGGAATCTTTCCTGTATGTATTATCAAATGTTTTTCTAATTTAATTCCGTGATTAAATTCCTTTGCAAAACATTGGCATTGACAGTGGGTTTCATGTTCACATATATTTTCCAGAGGTTCATTTTTATATTTCAAATGTTCCTTTAAACTGTCAAACTTGAATTGTTCTTCACTGAACACATTTCTGCAGTCATCCTCATATTCCTTACACTTATCATTATTTTCAATCTCATTTTCAGTTGTTAGAAATGAACTTGCAGTGTTTACTTTTAATGGAATTGTTGGCAAACCATTTTTAAAAAAACCATAACTATCATCTCTTTCTGGATCACTGCACTGGCCTAAAAAATAAAAAAAAAAAGAAAAGAAAAGAAAAAAAAAACAGTGTTGCTAGTCTATTTAGAACAGAGAATGAAATGAATAGTTTAATAATAGTTATTATTATATTATTATATATTATTATTACAAATGTTATTTACAGCCAAAAGATGTTTTGTACACTGAAACTTTATAACTTTAATTTGCATGGACTATGCAATTTCAGTTTGGGTAACGTCTTAACAAAAATAAAAACACTCTGTTATGGTTACAAAAACCTCATTCTAGAATAGTTACAAATAATTTTAATAGTACAGTACAGTACAAATTATCGTGAAATTGATCTTATTAAACAAAAAATTGGAAACTTCTTAATGAACGTAGAGATTACGCCTAGCATGTATATTATAATACTGTATATAAATGGTATTACACCTCTTGTGTATAACAATATTTAAATGATTTTTGACCGGCATCGATATTCCACGAGATACACCCACTCACTTTGGTAGAAGCGGTTGGCGCATCGGTTGTGTCTTGGACTCGAGGTCGGGGGTTCGAAACTCTCGCTGTACAAATTGCTTGTGTCCTTGGGCAAGGCACTTTATCTATGGTTGCCTCTCTCCACCCAGGAGTACTAGTGGGTACCTGGTAGGTTCCAACACAACTGCGCTGATTATTAGAGCAAAATTATGGAATAAAAATATAATTTAATTTGGTGTTCAATGTGTTCCATATGTGTTTGATCCAATGAGCAGAGTAGTAATGTGAAGCGCTTAGAGGCTTTGTTAAGGCATTAAGCGCTATATAAGAATGACATATTATTATTATTATTATTAACGTTATCCCCCAATCTCAAACTGCTCTGTAATAAATGGTTCTTTAAAAATTGCTGGAGCAAAAGTTTGAAACAAGATCATAATCAGAATTCAAGAATGTCAGTCTCTTAAAATTCAAAATTACTTGTAAGAAACACTTTCTCCGATTTCTAAATTTGTTCCATTATCTATGATATTTTCCAGGATCTTTATATTATTGATTGTCCAAAAATTCCAGCCCTGAAAACTTGACACAGAAATACCGGATTGGTGTCCAACATGGGAAAATTTTTAACCAAGTGATTATAACTTCCTTATCTTTTAATCATAACCATAGTTTTTACCATATTGTAGTTAATTGTAATTCATGGCCCTGAAACCTGGACTCAAAAATACAGCGTTGGTGTCCAGCGTAAAATAGTTTTGCACTATATTATACTATTTGTATTGTATTGTTTTAGGTAGCTTCTTGTATGTTCTTTATTGTATTTTATCTTTGCAACCCATTTGTAAAAGAGTATTAATATGGGCGTGTTTCTGCTGAATTACGCCAAAAACATGTGTTTTTTTATAAACGGTTAAATTCCTTCTGAACGTATTTATAGTGAAAAGTGCAACTAATAAAAACACAGTAATGTGAGCATTGGCAATTGGGTGGAGCTTAAATGCCGGTCACCATCGGAAGTTGAAGCTGACCTTACTTCTTGCAAGCTACAGCGCATGCTGTGAAAGAAGTAAACAACACACCACGAAAGTATGAAAAAAGTATAGTATGATTTTCAAGCATGTCATCCTATTGGTTTAATTTTTTTCTTCGCCCCAAATTTCCCATGGATGAGCGATCAAACCAACAAAGAGGTCAATTTGGATCACCGACGGGTCATTACTAACACGATATTACGTTGCAGCTGAAAAGTGTACTACAAAACACACGTTTTCTGAACGTGAACCCAATATAACGAATGCATGTAAACACACGCATTTTTAGAATGCATTCCTAACCATGTTTTTGTTTTGTGGCCCGTTTCTATTGGGGAAAAAACATGTGTTTTTTAATAACCATTTAAAAGCACACATTTTTTTGTTCAGCAGAAACAGGCCCTATCTCAACTGTATATATTATCCTGCCTAATAATAATTATAAACAAACATTATTATCCTCAATTCTACGAAGGAGAGATGATGGGCGTGTGTCTGTGTGCCTCAGTCTGTGTGTGGGTGTGTGTGTGATGTGACGTGTGTCCTTCCGGATGCATTGCACAAAAACTACTGCACTGATTTATTCAAATGTTCACACTTTGACAATGTTATGTATCTCGGTCCTCCCCAAATTTGGTGCTGATCGGAAGTAAGATGCAGATTTTAGAATGTTAATAGTATATATATGGCGCATCAGGGCTAGTGTTTGTATCTCAGATTATCTTGTTATAACTTAAAATATAATGTGCTCCAGCCTTTGCTCAGGGGCAAAACTTTAGTCTAGTACAGGGGGCCTTCTGTCCAACAATGCATAACACTAAAATTGCGTTGCAGTAGGTCAAAACATCCTGTGTCTCCTTATTAGGAGTTGCATTCATTTTAAGGTGATTAAGAATTATGATACACGATACTGACAATACTGGACTTGGTAATCTTGAAAATAGAACTAACCTGGTTCAACTTTAATTTCAGGATTCAGAGCATTATGCAAATGTGCTTCTTGTTCTGACATTGTGCTACAAATATCTTCTTGCATTTAATTGAAATCCTTAAGCTGAAGTTCTGAAAGCAAGAAAATAATGCATTATCACATTTTTCGGCCAGGAATCAGTTTGGCCGTGATTCTGGAGATATATGTTATGTTTCCATTAAAATTTAGTTCCATACTCCAAGCCAAACCTACCAGGACATCCCTCCTGACAACAGGTCCAAATGTTATTTAACTTTTGTTCACAGCACTGGACTGCAGCGAAAAATGATTCCCCCATCATTAATGGAACAGGCCCACGTCATGCAGTGGCTGACTAGCTTTGATTTACATTTCGCATGTCTAGTGTTGTTGTTAGACGTATTTCAAACAAGTCATGCTTGGCTGGTTTTTGATTTTGCGTTTTGGAACAGAATTTGGAGAGGGCGTTTGATCAAGTCAGACCTACTTTTGAATTTGAATTACATTTGAAAGAAATTAGAACTACATAATTTTGGAAAATTTGAACTACGTTTTGAAAACTTCATTTTGGGAAAATAGCTACTTTTTGAGAAATTTACGCTTACGTTTTGATAAATTAGACATTGAATTTTGCAATTACATTTTGATTTTAACATGGACTTTTGCTGCGTATGACACCAATACAAATCTCAGACGCGACCCCAGACGTGGCAAGCACGCCTGTCAGAATAGGCTTTGCCCGAGTATAATCGAACAACAAAAGACTACAACAATTAATAAAAACTCTTTTATCAAATTATAATAATTAAACATTCAATTTATAACGTAGGCCTATCAACTATATGAAACATTAATTATGTATTAGCAAGCATAAATATTTAAAATAAATAGAAACATACCCAAAATATCACATCTAAAATCAGCATGAGTAGCAGCTAGGCCCAAACAATACGTTCGACTTGCACCTGCTTCGGGACCTGCTACCGGTACTCAATTTAAATGAAAACCCACGTGCAAAAAGCAAACTGAGCGAAAGGACACCAAAACAAGAGGGCGCAAATACAAACAGAAAATATCTCGAGGGTGCTAAAAATAATGTTAAAATCTTTGGTCCGAAGGCCCGTTGGTCCTAAGGTCCATTGGTCCGAGGGGGCGTTGGTCCGAATTAATGACCTTTTTCCAGGAATGCAGGTTATATGGCAGTGCCGCAGTAAATGCCCTAGGAGCCAGACCAGGTTTTGTATGCACTTTGAGGTGCAGAGAATTTGGCTTCAGAAATTGGCTCAGGGTGGTCCAAGAATCATTTTTGGCTTGGTAACATATTTTCAAAATGTGGCAAAGGGTCAGGGTCAAAGCTATAAGGTCCTTGTATCTCCGCAACCACAGGTGGTAGAGAGTTGAATGTGGTGCCAAATTGTTCGGAACAAGCATATTTCTATTTGCTCTAATAGAACATTTTGCTAAAATATGACCGGAAATGCCGTTTCTGACCTTTGACACTTCAAGATTATAGACATATTGTCCTTATATCTCCGCAACCACTGGTGGTAGAGGGTTAATTTTGGTGTCAATTTGTTCGGACCATTCATGTTTCTATTTGGTCTAATAAATGAGTTTGCTAAAAAATGATGGAAATGCTATTTCTGACCGTTGACATATTTTATATATGATAGCCATTGATTCATTATTATCTCCGCAACCACTGGTGGTAGAGAGTTAATTTTATGGCCAAATTGTTCGGAACATGCATATTTCTATTTGCTCTAATAGGACATTTTACTAAAAAAATGACCGGAAATGCCGTTTCTGACCTTTGACATGTTTCAAGGCCATAGCCACATGGTCCTAATATCTCCGCAACCACTGGTGGTAGAGTTAATTGTGGTGTCAATTTGTTCGGAACATTCATGTTTCTATTTTGTCTAATAAATGAGTTTGCTAAAAAATGACCGAAAATGCCATTTCTGACCTTTTGACCTATTTTATATATCACAACCATTGAGTCGTTATTATCTCCGCAACCACTGGTGGTAGAGAGTTAATTTTGGTGCGAATTTGTTTGGAACCTCCATGTTTCTATTTACTCTAATAAACATTTTTTTTTCTAAAGATGAGCGGAAACGCCGTTTCTAACCTTTGACATGTTTCACTGTCATAGCCTTAGTCCTTATATCTCCGCAAGCATTGGTGGTAGAGAGTTAATTGTCGTGACAATTTAATCTAACATTCATGTTTCTATTTTATCTATTATATATCTTTTATATATCTAATGGAATAGTTTACAAAAATGACCGGAAGTGCTGTTTCTGACCTTTCACATGCCGACATATATTATTGTTATTAAGGCATATTTATGCTTATCTCTGTACATACTTGCTGTAAAGACTTAAAGCCCCATTCCCGGCAAAATTTCACTAAAAATGACTTTTTTTAGAAAATATGCATTTGCATTACTCCAATTATTATAAATCATGGAAAAATATTGGCATGATTTTTATGTGTGATAACAGAACCTAAATCGAGGTAAGGCTAGGCCTAGCCAGCAGCGCTGGATAGGCTAATGTTTTCGGCGCCTACGATATTTCTTCTCACGACCTATCGCAAAATCAACATGAAAAATTCATCCGCATTTATTTTTTTTGTGGAACAAAAAATCAAATTTCAGTCTTATTTTACATTTTTTTTCATTCTTAGGAATGTCTAAATTCAGTTAAACTAGCAATTCCGTATTATATTTATAAATCTTCATAACATTATACAAAAATTAGATTTTTCATAAAAATTGAAATTTTGCCGGGAATGGGGCTTTAATATTGATCTAAAATTATTCATTTAAACATGTTTCTGTTTAATTTATAAAATCATTTAATTAAAAAAACGTAATATGTTTATATGTATTACTGCATATATCTCTACTAAGAGAAAGATCATTTTTTACCATACCATTGTTGTTTTTCAGTACTTTTAATACATTATATTATATATATAATATATATATGCATGCATGCATACATACATTATTACTATTTATACATATTAATTTTTTTTACAAATGGTCTAATAAATTAAACAGAAACACGTGTAAATTAATAATTTTAGATCAATATTAAGTCTTTACAGCAAGTATGTACAGAGATAAGCATATATATGCCTTAATGATAACAATAATAATAATAATATATGTTGGCATGTCAAAGTTCATAAACATCATTTCCAGCGATTGTATTCTAGCAAACTGTTCCATTAGACCAAATAGAAACATGAATGTTCGATTAAATTGACACCACAATTAACTCTCTACCAACAATGCTTGCGGAGATATAAGGACTAAGGCTATGACATTGAAACATGTCAAAGGTTAGAAACAGCATTTCCGCTCATTTTTAGAAGTAAAGTTCTATTAGAGTAAATAGAAACATTGAGGTTCCAAACAAATTACCACCAAAATTAACTCTCTACCACCAGTGGTTGCGGAGATAATAAAGACTCAATGGCTATCATATATAAAATATATCAACGGTCAGAAATGGCATTTCCGGTCATTTTTTAGCAAACTCATTTATTAGACCAAATAGAAATATGAATATTCCGAACAAATTGACACCACAATTAACTCTCTACCACCAGTGGTTACGGAGATATTAGGACCATATGGCTATGGCCTTGAAATATGTTAAAGGTCAGAAACAGCATTTCCAATCATTTTTTAGTAAAATATTCTATTAGAGCAAATAGAAATATGCATATTCCGAATGATTTGGCACCAAATTAAACACTCTACCACCTGTGGTTGCGGAGGTACAAGGACCTTATAGTTTTAACCTTTGACCCTGACCTTTTGCCACATTTTGAAAATATGTTACCAAGACAAAAATGATTCTTGGACCACCCTGACCCAATTTCTGACGTCAAATTCTCTGCACCTCAAAGTGCATACAAAACCTGGTCTGGCTCCCAGGGTAAAAACAATTCCTTGCAATTTATGGAGTAAATTAAGAAAGGTCACTTTTCAAAAACAATATTCCCAAATATTTTTCCTAACAATAGGCCTATATAAGGCCAAGTAAAAAAAGAAACACTAGTCTCTTGTCACCTCGCGCATCCATTTTTGCTGCCTCACCATTTAAAAAGAAAAATATATCCTTTATTTTGCGAAATGTACGAAAATCCGGCTAACTCACATTAGTAAAATTCCTCTCTCGATCTCTCTCTCCTCTATCCTTCCTGGATAGGGAGACGTTCCCAGTGAGAATTTCAGTTGGACTATTACCAGTAGTATTACGAATTAAAACTCAACGTACTATATGAATCATGTCTAGTGCTTCTTTTATTTGCTTTCAATGATCACCAACCATAGTGGGACTGAGGTGGATATGCACTCAGACACCCCACTAACCCTGGATAGGAGTAAATGGGTCTGCAGTTTAAAAGCCAATTTGCTAAGCACTTCTTCCTCCCTTTTTTATAATGGCCGGACCACTAGCAAAATGCTTCCGACGACAATAAAATACATCATTACTTTATTTTGAGAAGATTTTGACTTTCCTTTTGCAATTTTCTTTGTATACTAAAATCTACATCCATAATCATAATTAAAAAGAGTAAGACAGGAGGCTAAACATATTTATAGTAATTCGGTATACTAAACAATTAACCCTTAAATTAACTTTTTTTACGAAATAAGCAATTTCTTCACATTTCAGAATGTGATTCAAAATTCATAATTATTTAACTTATAATAATAATAATAATAAATTTATTCTTATATAGCGCAAAATGCAAAAAACCTCTAAGAGCTTTACAATGAAAGGAAAAACCGGATCAAAATAAAAGAAAAATGTTTACAACAGCGAGGGAAATCAGGTTAACATTATGAATGAATATTTATTTATTTATTTTAATTTATTTTATTTATTAATTAATTTATTTTTTTATTCATTTTATTTTTTCTTTCAATTACCTTCTTATTCCATTTGGTTACTTTCCAATTTATTATTGATTTCTTATACATTCAACTATTTCACAGTTTAAATTTTTCTTATGTGTTTGGCTTGTCATGTCTATCCTTTCCTCACAGCCCTTGCCTGTATTTCCCAATCCCCATTTCCTTTCCTTTTCTTATGTTCACATAATTTTCCTTCATTTTTCATTCTGATGTTACCTTATCTTTTCCTTTCCTTTTCCTTTCTTATTTTCCTTATCATTTCTTTCCTTTTCCATTTTTGTGTTTCCTTATCTTTTCTTTCCTTTTCCTTTATTTTGTTTCCTCATCATTTTTTTCCTTTTCCTTCTTATGTTTCCTTATCTTTCTTTTCTTTTTCCTTTCTTATATTTCCATATCAATTCTTAAATGGATCCTTATCATTTCTTTCCTTTTCCTTCTTATGTTTCTTCCTATTCTTTTCTTTTTCCTTTCTTATATTTCCGTATTTCTTTCTTATGTTTCCTTATCATTTCTTTTGTTTTACTCTCTTATGTTTCCTTATCCTTTCTTTCTTTTTCTTTCTTATGTTTCCTTATCTTTTCTTTCCTTTTTCTTTCTTCTTCCTTTCTTATATTTCCTTATCTTTTCTTTCCTTATCCTTTCTTATATTTCCTTTTCTTTTTCTTTCATGGACCATACATTATAAAAATAATGGAGTTTAGACAACTATACTTAAATTTAAATGTGAAGTGCCATTTCCGTCCATCTATAGGTGCCTTAATCATAAATTTTCTTGCCACCGTAACTGGGTCTGAGGTGGTATAGACTCCGCAGTGGCGTATCTAAGAGTCTTGAAAAAAAAGGGGAATAATGGGGAGCGCAAAGGTGACGTGAGGGCAGGGGGGGGAGGAGACTCAATGATTAGGTGAGAGGCTGTAACCCGCAAAATAAGGTACCGGTAATTTTTAACTACTTGACCGTAATTTTTTTTTGGAGGGGGGAGGGGGCGATTGGGGAGCGCGAATAGCCTATTTTTTGGAGGAGTGTGTGTGCCTTCCCGCGGACCCAATAGATACGCCACTGAAACCCCATCTGTGAAATTCCATCCCTGGGCTCCTTCTATTTTGAATTTCTGGATCTGCCACAGGATAATATTACATATAGGCCTACAGGATATATTTATTTTATAAACGACTACAGGAACTTTTTTCACTGTGTGAGCATATAATTCAGATGTATGAAAGAGGCTATCTGCGGATTAGATTTGCAGTATGGTATGATACTCGCCTTGATAGTGAGAGGATGTGGTTCTAATCCCGCTACACACAATTTTTCCAGACACACATAGGACATGCAAAGACATCCACTTAAGAATTTTTATTTTTATTTTTGATTCATAATGGACCGTTTCAGTGTATCAATCAACTGACCAATCAAGGCCAGAAATAAATCAACACACAAGTTTACATATGCTGTTGTTTTTTGTACCTAGCCTAACGTGTGCGAATCCAGAGATGTCCAAAAAGGTGGGCGGGGGCGGAAGGAGCTGATCAAGATAACAATACTCTAAGGGGAGAAATTTTTGTGTTCTAGACGCTCAAAAATAACCTCTGAGGCCTTTTGGGCCATAATTTTTTTTCATTTTCTTTCTTTCTTTTTTTTTTTTGACTATCCAAAAGAGGGAATCCACCCCTGGTAAACGATCGCATAACTTACTACCTACAACTTATGGTCCGCGTATGCAAAACGAGGCATACGTCAAAAATTTTAGTGCATGCACATGCTACGACGTATACCAGCACGCATCAGCGTGCTCTTAACTTACACGAAACTTACAAATAACTTATTTAACGTACGCTGGCGTACGTTAAATAACTTATTTAACGTACGCCAGCGTATTCAACACATTTTTCATACACAATTCATCGGCATACGCTGGCTAATTACGTCTCCCGTGGAGTGGCGTCGGGCGATTTAAGCACAAGAAAGTAGCAAATTGAGAAAAATTTCTATTTCACAATATCTTTTTATTTCAACAATGTGTTTGGTTAGTCTGGTTATAATGACAAAATAACAGAAACTATAGAACATACAGATCATTAGAATAATATATACAGTATTTATTCACTAAATTATCCAATGACTTAACTGTGGTGGTGTCACTTCTAACAATAATCACCTTCATGTGGTACATGTCACATGTAATGTCATTCTACTTTGATTATTATTATTGCTTTTTCTTTTTAAAATATGAAGTAATTCTTCAAATGTCTTCTCAAGTTGCAAATGTTTGTAAATCTCTGTCCAAATTGTTAATCATTCATTATGGAGTCTCACATGAATGTACTTTCCAAGGGCTTTTATAAAGAAACCACATTGTTCACATTCATATGGTAGACCTGCATGCAGCTTCATACAGTATGTCTTTTGTACAACTTTTTTTGCTTAAGTATCTTTCCACACTCTTTCAGTACTACGGTCTTTAAACTTCTTCCCACAATGTTCACATTCAAATGGTCTCTCCTATGTTGATCCTAAGATGCTTTTCCAAATTTCCCCTTTGAAGAAACTTCTTTCCACAATGTTCACATTCATTATGGTACGTCACATGTATGCAGCTTTCATATGTCTTTTATAAGACTCTTTTTGTTTAAATATATTCTTTCCACACTGTTTACTGTACATTCACTCAGTACGTCTATATGCATGGTTACATGTATTTTCATAGCACCACGGTCTTAGAACTCTTTTCCACAATGTTCACATTCAAATAGTCTCTCTCCCACGTGTGTATCCTTAAATGCGATTTGAAAGCGCTACTTTGAATAAAGCTCCTTCCACAATGTGCTCATTCATCTCCAGTATCTGTTTATTTCAACTATGTGTTATGACAAAACAACAGAAAATATATATGAAAGAATTAAATTTAGAAGAATAAAATTTTTTTTTATTGAAAATATGTAAAAGATTTAACATTGCTGAACATGTAATTTCTATAAACTCTACAATTGTTAATTGTATTACACTTTACATACTGTAAGAAATGATTATATCATTCACTCACTATTTAAAGGAATATGTTGTGTATTAAATTTTACACTTATCTTTCATTGAAGATAAATTGAAGTTGGTATCAGTATCATACTGTACAAAGGATCATAAAACAAGTTTCATAAACTAGAAAGTTAGAGAACTAAAAATCTAAATAAATGTC